GAAGAATAAGGAGAAGTAATTCAAAAGGGTAAAGTATAATTTTACATTGCTGTCATGATTACACATGTAATTCCCATGTGATAGGCAAGCCTGCTTCCTGGAATGGAGGAGGGGAAAATCACCTCATATACTTTATTAATCTGAGCACCAATATAATCAGAAAATCAGTATTGCTATGGCTCACGTGGCAATGTCAGTGCCTCTCATCCAGAAATCAATATGTCACTAACTGCAGGTACAGATCACCTCCAGGTACAATCTATGTACGCACAGATTTATAAACTGCTCCTATAAACAGACTTCAACAGGTCAAGTTCCCTCCCTTTATGCTTAGTCTTCCATTTGCACTGAGGCAGCACGAGCCATTGCTCACTAGTCGTATTCTGGTTCTGCAGGTGGATCTACAGTCACTCTTAACCTGGAAAGCCAAGGAGACAGAAGGAAATCAGGGGCATTCTCCAGCTCGTTCACATCACTAACTGGGTAAGGAAAGGTTTGCTAGAACACACAGCTACAAGCTTTCTCCCACATTCTTGTTTCTGTTGCACTAGCACTAGCAGACTTGAGAAGTTAGGGAAGATGGAATGGTCTGCGAGGCCCAAAATATGGATTACCTGAACCAAAATGTACTGGCCAAACTTTGGAACCACTAGGCAATTTGTCACTCAATAACAGTAATTAATAACTCTGCTTAGACACTTCTACTGTTTATCACTATGGCAGCACAGTATATTGTAACTGTTTGTCTGTTTTTGTTTTTTCCCATTATTAGAACATATCCCCAATTCCATGGAAGTAGAAGATTTAATAAATGTAGACTGAACCAAAAGTGCCTAGACAAATGTAGAGTAAATCAGAACACTCACAACCTATAATAGCTTTTTTTTACGTAGGTATTTCTTCTGGAAAAATGTCTATGAAGAACAGGTAGAAAATACTTTAAAATAATCACTCACAGGCAAAACAAAAGACTATAGGTTTCACTTTCACGTTCAATGGTAAATTTCAACTTTTAAGATATAATCAAGTACACTCGGAACTTCCATGTAACCAATCTTGTTTAAAAGATTGAGTCAAGGATCTCTCTCTGAACCCGTGAGTCATGCCCCTCCCCACACACTTTGGAAGCCTGAAAGCCCCGCCAATCCTTCCCCTCTGTCTCTGCCATGCTCAGAGATGGGTTCCCAGTGCTTCAGAGATGCCTAGCTTGTTACATGGGAGCTGGGATCAACTCTGGTCCCCATGACTGTACAGAGACACTTTTAACCACTCATCTCTCTCTCCAACCTCACAGTAACAAATCTCAATTTAAAACCCAAGCAAGGGTACAGAGTCTGTTGGTAAGAGCCCATCATGAGCAGACACTGTTGGCTGCAGCCCTAGGTTTAAACCCCAACTGCTCAAAAATGACCAGCCTTGCATTTCTGAGTCCTCTTTTTCCCCTTCTTTGTGGAAAGGGAGAAACTTGCTACAGCATTATTGTGAAGATTCAATGAGAAAGCACCTGCTTCATCATTAGAAAACAATAAAGGGCATGAAAGGCTAAGCTGGTTTTAAAAATACTGAATTTACATTTCTATATATTATTATTTAATAATTATTTTGCATAGCAGTAGGTATCGAACCTAGGGGCTAATACATCCAAGGCCCAGACATATGAGCTACAAATAAGTGCTTGAAGTAAAAACAACTTCACAAGGAGTCAAAAAAATGCATTTAAAATCCTGGTGAGGTTATTAACAGAATAGAATTGCTGACAAAATAATTTTTGATCATTACAAGAACTGGTGGAGAATTGGAAACTTTATACACTATTGTTGTGAATCTGTTCTAAGCCAATTCTGAAAAAATAAAATGTACACTTAGCCAAATAATCTAGCTAATCCAAAGTGAAATAAACATACATCATTACAAGGACGCATACATGAATTTCATTAGCAGTTTTATTTGAAATAGCCAAAGACTGGAAATAAAATCTAATGTCAAACTCAAAATAAATACTCTGTTCGTATATAAATTACAATAATAAAATGGAATCAATTATTGATAACTGCACCAAAATGAATGCATCCTGAAATAATTATGCTGAGTTCAAGTAATCAAAACAAAACAAAAACATGGGGCAAGAGAGATGATTCAGCTGATTAAGAGCACTTGCTGCTTTTGCAGAAGACCTGGGTTCAGTTCCCAGTATGAACATGGCAGCATACAACTGTCTGTAACACTCCAGGGCTGGGGGAGCAGATGTCCTCTTTTGGCTTCTGAGGGCACCAGGCATGCATGTTGTGCACAGATATACATGCAGGCAAAACACTCAAACACATAAAATAAAAATTTAAAAACAAAGAATATAAAATTCTAAAAACTGCCCACTAATCCAGTGACAAAAACTGGATTAAAGGTTGACTATGCATCCAGGAAAGGAGAGGGAGATGGGGAAGAACTATAAAAAGCTGCGAATGAGGAATACACTGTGAACTGTACTGATGTGTCACTGTATATATATTTATCAATATTGATCAAGCTGGACAAGAGACTTATGTACTTTACTGAGATTCAATATAATGACTTTTTTAAAAAAGCGTGGTAGAATGACCTTTACTCCTATCTACTACTGGATGAGCTCATTGCTGTGGGCTGAACTGTGTCCCCATAAAATGTCATGTATGCTGTTCTCTGTTAACTTTACATGTCATAGGGTGGTGGTGGGTCACATCTATAACCCAGCACTTGAGAGGCCTGGGTAAAAGACTGCGTAAGTTAGAGTCCAGCCTAGACTACATAGTGAGATCTAAGACAGTTGGAACACATACTGTTTTGAGACAACAAGATCTTGTCTCAAAAAATTTACAAACAACAACAAAAAATACCCTTCACATATTCACTGTGCCCCTAAACTACAGGACTATGAATTTCAAATATGCTTTTTGATTCATTGAAGAGTTCTGACATATTACTGATTTTATGTATGCATAAAGCTAAATGGCAGGTGGTAGGAATGAGTAGGGCAGAAGCATAATTACAGGAAAGACCTAAGATCATCTCAGCAACAGGCCAGGTGAGGACTTCTGGAAAGGGCCAGATAGGGAACTTTTGTCTTTGTGGGCCATGCCAATCTGGATCATGATGCAACTGCCAGTTTAACACAAAACCACCAGAGATAGCACACAGAAGCAAGCATGGCTGTGTCCCAGCAAAACTATATACAGATATTGGAATATGAATTTCATCTTGTTTTTACATGAAGAACTATTCTTTTTTATTAATTTTTAATCATTAGAAAATATAAAATACCTCTATGTTTGTAGGGCTTATAAAATTAGGCAGTGAGTCAGTTTGGTCTGAGTGTCATAGTTCACTAACACACTAAAATATGTTTTTTTTTTTGTTGTTGTTCTTGTTGTCTTTTGAAGACAGGGTTTCTTTGTGTAGTTTTGGTGCCTGTCCTGAATCTCACTCTGTAGTCCAGGTTGGCCTTGAACTCACAGATCTGCCTGGCTCTGCCTCCTGAGTGCTGGGATTAAAGGCGTGTGCCACCACTGCCCGGCCCTAAAACTATGTTTTAAAATAGGTACCAAAGCATTTAATTTTGATTTATCCCTAAATCAGTTATTTACTCATCTCTTATATTTGAGGGAAAGTAGATGTGACTTTGAATATTTTAAAAACATTTGCTCAGATGTGTTGATCATTTAGGTTTCCTAAAAGCAAACATGAAAACACAGTTTGGATAGAAAAATAATTTAGAGGAAAAAACAGCTAAGAAAGTATATATACATAGGAATATTGTAAATGTTATTCGAGGGCAATTTTTTTTTCTGGGAAAAAGAGGTCAATGCTCTCAAATTCAGAATGACTTATATGCTTCCTGAATCTCCAGGGCTCAAATATAGTTAGGAGCATTCCAGGTACAAAGTGGGCATAAAATAACTTTCAAGTGCTGGGTGTAGTGGTGCACGCCTTCAATTCTAGCACTCAGGAGGCAGAGGCAAGCAGAGCTTCGTGTTCTAGGCCATCCTAGTCTACTGAGTAAGTTCCAGGCCAGCCAAGGCTACATAGTGACACTCTCTCAAAAAACACAACAAAACTAAAACAGAAATCTATAAAGCCAAATGTTATGTCACCCTTTAAATGTCTTTTATAAACAATTTCAAATTTAAAGCTACAATTATTTTCATGTGTGTTATAGAATCCCTCAAAACTTTGTATTGTAAATTTCAGATCAGTCTTTTATTTAAAGTTAAAAGAAAAATGTTTTCTGGCAGTGGTCTTGGTCCTTTCTGGTCTAGAAAAGGAACATGGTAGCAGAAAGTTAAAAGTACCAATGGACTTTGTGCGGTAGTGAGATAACACACAAGACACTGGATATTTCATGTACTGAAGCAAACATTGCTCATAGGGAAAACATCTGTTAATCCTATGCCAAAAGATGTTCCCTGTCTTAGTCATCCCTGAACCTTCATTTGGCACACAGTAGGTACTCAATTAAAGTTAGATAATGATGATGTCTTAACCTCATGACCCTGTTATCGCTCTGTACTATCCCAAGATAATGTTTGCCTCACAGAGATGGCAAATGATATACACCGATGGTAGTTACTTTTATCCACACTTAGAAGAACTGATGTACTGAAACTTGGGGGCATCCATCCAACTTCTAATTCATTACTCTCCTGATGCTTCTTAGCTAAGAAAGCCATGTTAGTACTAAAATATGACTAGAGGGAAAATCCTACCTCTTTAAACTGATTTTACAAGTCCATGGGAAAACTGAAAATTATCTACTTTTTCTGTTTTAACTGCACTGTAAATATGGAAAGTTATTCTCCAGCTATTAGACAAAACACAAACCACTGTTGTTACCACTGAGAAACTATACCACCAGAATGGGTAGAAAAAAAGTGTTTTAATTCATTGGAACAAAGAGCACTTAACAATTACTTCTTTTCGTTTAAATCCCAGGGGATAAAAATCTAGTTTTAAAGATCACTGTAACTATATAAAGAAACTACCTCTTAGGGCATGTAAGTAATTTTATTCATGAGTACTTTAGGTCTGAAAATAAGTATAAGAGGGTTACTTCAACATAGGTTATAGATCTTAATTTTTTTAAACAAGAAATTCTAAGAGTCTCCAATCTGAAATTAAAACCTTTTTTTTTTTTTTTTTTGCTGACTTCACTCTTGAGTTATGAGTGTGCAAATCTGGACTAGTGGCATGGCTCATTGACTAATTATTTGCCTAGCAAGTGTGAAGCCTGGGTTGGACTGCCCCTCTCAAAGGGAGAGATCAGAAGCGAAATGTATAACATTTCAAACTCTGAAGCCTTCCAACTGTTTAGCCTGGTGAATTCCAAGTTAATACAGTAAATGTTGTAAGATGAAAGCATGAACACCAGCTAACATCAACGATAGTTCTTCAGTGCCAAATATGCTCATCCAAAATTGGTGAAAGTCAGTGATTTTCAAATAAGTGTCTCTATCTGAAAATACAGGTCCTGTGATACAGCTGGCCACAATAAAACACAAATCTGGAGACTTTTTAAAGCTTGTCAATTGTTCCCTACCAGGAGAGACTATCTATAAGGTGTATATATAGATAGATAGCACTCTGCCATCTAATCAGAATATACATTAATTCAAAAACAAACTAAAGCTTAGAGATACAGCAAATTCTTTTTCCAAACGCTTCTCTTTACCGCACTTTCTGTCAGCAGGAAAACAGGAACACTTTGTATCCAAGAAAAAGAAACTCCAAATCCTCTTTCACAGTAATACAGGGGGGCTAAATACTCTAGGGACTTTCAGAACATCAAATCTAAAAGAACCTTTTAGCAGTTACAGCAAAAAACTACAATCATGCTGGTTTTTGATAAATTAACTCAAAACCTAAAACAACCTATCTTTCGTTAATTGGTCTCCAGATGTTTGAGGTCCTTCATTCCTAAATTAGGTCAGCAGTTCCACAACATTCCTTTGTTACAGCACTTCAATAATAAAGAATCCCAGGAACCCCTCCCAGCCCCCAACACCAAACACTACACACTACCTGCCACATACTCCAAGTCAAATTTCTTACAGAAATCTGCTCTCATATACCCAAACAGCTCTCTCTAACCCACAGGGAAAGTCAGTTCCTTCCTGCTGAAAAGCTACTCCGGATGCCTCTAAAGATGCACCAGCAGCCAGGTGTGGAGATGAGCTGGAGTGTACAGGCGTGTGTGGACATGGGAAGAGTGGGAAAGGACTCCAGCGCCTCAAGGAGGCTCCTTCCCAAAGAACACTGCATCCACTAGGGTGCGAATCCCTGCTACCATCATCCTCAGGAACCTTGACCCCTGGGCAACCCTGACGGCACTCACCTCAGCTCTTCCTCAGGGAGCCCATTTACTCGTAGACTGTCAGGTCGCTCTCGCCGTCGCCGGTAGAGGCCCGACTGGGACAGCTCCTTAAGCTGTAATGCAGTCATGGTTCTCTCTGCACAGCAATTAAGGATACTCTGGAGCGCCTGCCTATGCTGGGCGAGTGCTGCCAGCTCAGACGGGCAGTGTCCTCTGCGGAGGACCTCAGCACACCTGACTCTGGGTTAGAAAGCTCCAGGCAAAGCAGGCCAGGCCAGTCGGCTGAAACAGCTTCCTGTTTCTTTGGTACACACCCTCCCCAGCAAGACATGACTTGCCTTATCTCTGTACCTAGGGAAGGGGGAGTCAGTGACCCACGTGGCCCACGTGGTCACCAATAAGCAAATTTCTTATGAATAATCACACCAATTCCTTTATAAACTCTCTCCCAGATTTTTCCAAATTAAAGTTGGGAAAAAAAGATCTAGCAAAGTAATGCTTAAAGAAGGGTCCAGCCCTGTTTTATTTGCCAGGAAATCCATTAACATTTCACAGACAGCTGTCAGTATAGAGAAGTGCCTGGTCATCAGTAGCTCTTTGGGACATTTTCCCTAAAGAAAAAAAAAAAGGGCAGAATTCCAAAGGAAGCAGCCCAGTTCCTTCCTCTCTCACCACTCTGAATACCCTTAGAAGAGACGTGTCTGGTCCACCCCCTCCCCTTAAATATTACTAAAAAATTCATACATGGGAGGAAGAGAGCTTCGCCTGCTAACTTCTGTTAAATGACTTTCTGATTCTGTGCCTACTCTCTGAATAGTCACAACTTCCACAGTCACCTCTGCTAGGTAACACTTATCTCAGGTTGTCAGCCTACAGGTGCCAGTATTTATCTATGAAGCTGATCTTGGAAAGGAAGGTGAAGGGGCTGCAGACAACAAGGACATGGAAACGCTGTGTCACCTGCTCCAATGTTAGCAGTACACCAGGTAGGGCGCCACCCACCAGGCCAATCAAGTCCCTCTCAGGACCAACACCACGCACAAATACAGGTTGGCTGCTGGCTAGTTCTCAGCCAAAAGCTTGATTCATGCCTCTAGTAATTTTTCTTTGGGCAATTTGTACCATTCTTTTGCTGTTAGTCTCCTCTCAACAAGAGCACAGAAAAAGGGCTGGAGAGTATAATTCATTGGAGAGTGTTTTCCTAGCCCTAGGTTCAATACTACGCACCACTCAAAAAGAAAGATGTATTTCTACAGCATATAACCAGTAGCTTTACTTTTCAGAGTTTAAAAAAAAAAACAAGAAAAACTGATGCCACATGTTGACAAGGAAACAGAGCTTGGTGATTACTGAAATTTACTTGCACAGGAAACAGAACTGTGTGGGATGGATCCTGTACCGATGAGTCTGTGGTTAAAAGGATGTGAAGACAGAAACAAAAAAAGTTCCAAGCCCTGTAACAAACAAGCTATGACAACTGTTGCCCTCTGACTTTTCAAATGGCTGAGCTGACAAGTAGGAATTTTAGTAAATCAATGTTCATGCTGCAATGAAATTGCTACAAGGAATACAATTAAATTCTGAGCCTTTGCTGCTTTTTTTGGGGGGGGGAGGGGGAGTTGGAGACAGGGGTTTCTCTGTGTAACAACCCTGGCTGCCCTGGAACTTGTTTTGTAGAGCAGGCTGGCCTTGAACTCAGAGATCTGTCCTCCTCTGCCTCCTGGGATTAAAGGCATGTGCCACCACCACCTGGCTGCTGAAGGCTCTTTAAACCACTGTCTTCATGAAGACAGACAGACAGACAGACGCGGGAGGAAGAGAGGGAGGAAAAGAGGGGAAGTGGGGGGGGGCTTTACCTTTCTCCTTCACCCCTGAAGATGCAGAGCTAGGTAAGAATACACAGGCACCAACAGTGTTTCTTTCTTTGAAAGAAAATTTCACAAACTTCTGCAAAATACACTATCGACTAGCATTCAGCCTACAGCCAAGCACTGGCCCCACACCACTACCAGGTGGGAGCATACACCCAGTGCACAGTAGAGTGGCATAGGACAGAAGAGCTTGGATTTTTTTTTTTTTTTTTTTTTTGGGTAAATTTTTTGTTGTTGCTTTGTTTCTGGAGACAAGGTCTTACTATGTTGGCCTTGCTGGCTTAGAACTTGCTATACAGACCAGGCTGGCTTCAAACTCATAGAGACCTGCCTGCCTCTGCCTCCCACATGTAGGAATTCAAGTATACACCTCTATGCCCAGCCCTCTTTTTATTTATTGAAACAGGGTCTCCTGTATCTTACACTGGCCCTGAACTCACTAGGTAGATGTATTTGAATGCATTCATTATTCTCCCATCGCCATCCTCAGGTGGATTATGGGGTGTTCCAACTACTTCTAGTTCCCTGGTTTATACAATGCTGGGATGGATTCTTGCATGTTAAGCAAGCATCTTACCAGCCCCAGCCCTCAGACCTCAGCTCTACATCCCCAGATCCCAGTTCTCTTCATCCTTCAAATACACTTTTCCATAGAAAAATAGTTACCAACTGTGCCTAATTTTTCTGTTCAGATGTAGTTCAAAAGTCTTCAGTTTCAAACAACTGTCTTTGCATAACTTTTACATTACAGAGAGGCCAAGACAAGTGCTTTTCCCTACACGACTCTAAATAGAAATCTTTCCATTTCTGCATTCTTAAGATTTTGACTGCCAGTTCAGCCTTACATTCAGTGCAGGATTTGTATCCCTGGTTTCCATGTGGCCTCACCACTGCATAATATCTATAACTGGAGACTCTGCCTATCCTTGGACACTTGGAGTAGTGATTGTTTCATAAAATTCCTAGGTCTCGCCTATTCCTAGTGGTTACAAAGAACAATGGTATCCAAGTTGTTGTGGTCACATTTTCTAGCCTGCCTCTGTTCGGTGCAGCTGGTAGTTGTATAAGCCTCATTACAACTTTCCATACCATTCTGTCCTTTCTAGCCTGTTGGGTTCTTGTTGATTCTGGCATGAAACAGCAATCTGCTCCAATTTAATATCAACTGCAAAGCTGATAATTTCTTTTGTAAGTTTAAACTCCTTACTGAAATGATTAAATACTAAGTTCTACTGAGTGCTTTGCAGGACCTTTCTCCTCGCAGGCTATTTAACTATTTAACAGTTTTCTATTTTCTGGGAGTCAGGGACCTTTTGTGATTCTGATAACGTTAATGATTCTCTCACAGAAAATGCATGTGAACACTACATTTTACAACAGTGTTACAAAACCAACAGACTCTCTTTAAAGCTTCAGCTCTTTCCTGAGCGCATTTGTTTTTTTCCCTTTTCTGAACACCTCCAACTCATTGTGGGTATTCTAAGCTTCACCGTGTGTGCTCATCTGGATCTATCTGCTCAGCCATAGGCTATGTACTGTTTGGGAAAGTTCCTCTTGTCTGTTCTAAATTTCTCTCAGCCACCAACCTTCTAATCTATTCAACTATCTTTTAAAATGCAGGTCGATTACTTATTGACCCTTCTTAAAAACCTTCCATGGCTCCACTGCCTTTATAACCGTATAAACAAAGAGAACGGGGTGTGCCATCTGGTGCCAGCAGAGCCTGCCCCAGCTCTTAGGCACCTAGCCTTCTGGATTCCAGGCAATTCTAGGACAGAATAGTCTCACTTCCTGGTTTCTGCCAATGCAGCCTGTAAGTCTAGAAGAAGGATTCTTGCAGTTTGCTCTTAGTCACCCCACTATGTCTTGGGCAAAGGCAGGATGCCTTTCTAGACCTCATGGGCCAGTCAATCCCCTTTGTTCTACGGACTCCTGTGTTGCCCTCTGTGATCAAAACAACATAGTCTTACGACTGGCTATTTAGTCCTTTTCTTGAGACAGTAGTTTCTTACATCATGCTATGTAGCTCAGGCAGTTCTCAAACTCATGGCAGTCTGCTTGTCTCCTTAGAGTTTTGAAGGTTTTGCTCTTAACATTCCACATTATCTAAGTGAAATTTAAAATTTTCTTTTATTTTTAGTTCATGTGTATGAGTGTTTTGCCTGCATGTATATATATATATATATATATATATATATATATATATATATATATATATATATATTTATCACATTCATGCCTGTGCTTATGGAGACCAGAACAAGGTATCAGATCTCCTGGAACTGGAGTTAGAGGTGGTTTAAACCATCCTGTGGGTGTTGGGAACTAAACTTGGGTACTCTGTTAAGAGCTCTTAGCCAAACCATTGTTCTAGCCCCTCTGAACGAGATTTTAAAGACATACCAATTATTCTATAGTTTTAGAATGTACTTCATGAAATTTCAGAGCTTATAAAAACTAGATTTGAAGAGAGCCTTCCACAAGTATAAATACTTATGGGTAAGACTAAAACTTAGCCTAAATGTTCATCTAAACTTGTGAGAGCACAGTATTCAGCAGCCTGTTATAAGTCATCGCTTCAGGCACAGGAGGGTAAGGAAGCCTAACTGAACCTCAACCACTAAAGTTGGTCATTAGTGTTACTGAGTCATTATAGTTACCAAGAGCTACAAAACTGCCTCCATGCAGAATCATAATTAACCAAGGCTCATTACCAGTATCTTTTATGCTAGGTCCAGAAGGCCTATAAACTGGATGAACAGCTGTGCAATTTCAGGCCACTGACTTCCATATGTGATATGCAACAAGAGAAGAATCTTGTTTCATAACTAACTTTGGATTTGAAGAAAAAAAAAAAGAGCCTTTTTTAGGCTGAGTTTTATCTCATGGATAATAATTTACAGGGAAAAAATACACTGGGAGCTGGAGAGATGTCACTTACTGCTCTTGCAGAGGACCACTGCCAGTTATCTCTGTCTCCTGCTTACAGATCAAATGTGAGCTCTCAGCTGGTCCTGCCGCCATGCCTTTGCTCTGTCGTCATGGACACTGACCTCTGAAACCAGAAGCCCAATGAAACACTTTTCTTTATAAGTTGTCTTGATTATGGTGTTTTAGCACAGTAACAGGAAAGTAATAAGACATTCCTTACCCCCACACATGTGCTGTGGCATGCACATACACCTTTCACACACAATCAAAACTAACAGTTCACATGAAATTGACTGAGTCAGAAACATGGCAATTTCTCTTAAAATCAACAATACGGGATCATCTACATTAATAAATACTCTCAAGAGCAATTTCTTGATAAATTTTCAAATAGTTCAGAATAAAATTCTAGGTTATCAAGCCAATTACACACTATTATTTGTTTATTTCATTCATTATTATTATTATTATTATTATTATTGGAAACAGCTCTGGCTGTCTTGGAACTTGACTATGTAGACTGGGCTGGCTTTGAACTCACAAAGATCTGGCTGCCTTGGCCTCCCAAGTACTAGAATTAAAGCATGTTCCAGCATACCCAGCTGCAACAACAAACTTTAAACTTTGATTTATTAGTGTGTGAATGTGTGGTGTGTTGCAGGTATGGATTCAGAGGACAACTCTACAGAGCTGGTTTTCTCTTCCTACTTTCACAGGGGTTCTAGGTATTGAAATGTCACCAGACTACTATACCAAGTTTTAGCCAGTGAGCCATCTCATCTGGCTTCTAATCACAGATGTTTTTTAAGGAATCAAGAACACAAGATGGGTTCAGTGGAAAGGTCCTGGAGAGAGCAGGTGACATTAAGATGATAGTTTCACTTCTAGAAACTTACTTGTTGTGGCTGTCCTGTAAGTACACAGGAAGTCTTTGTTCTGGTGAAAACAGGTTAGGGTTAAAAGGAATGTTTGAGTTAAAATGATGAGATCTAGAACAAATAAGAAGGGAAGTAAAAGGGCTTGTAACTGGGTAACAGATAGCCAAACTGACCGGGTAAGAGGAAGGACAAAGCTCTGAGGAAAAAGAAGCCACTACTGGCCTGGCAAGTTGGATCCTACTCCCACAAAACTCACCCCTCACTGAGGAACAAGTACAAGATATCACTGTTTTTTCATATATAGCTGCTTCCAATGCAGCTAACTGAAACAGACTTATTATAGATAAGAACAGCCAGCCAGGACAAGGGACTTAGATATGAGGAAACTAAGAAAGACTGTAGCTATATCATGGTAGCCATGATAAAGAAGCTAGCTCCCCATTTCAGTAAATCTACAGATGTTCATGGAAACACGAGAACAGAGAAAGCACAGTCTAATTAATGGCTGACAGACCCTGCCAAGGTCAGAGACCAACAACATCTGTATGCTGGTGTGACCAGCAATGCCTACTCAGGCTTCGGGCCAGCAGGCATGCATGCCAAGATCAGAACAGGGATTTCTACCCATACTTATGACCACCTTCTAATAGGTTAAACCTTATATGAACATGAACTGGACCAAGGGAATGTGCATAGAAATATGGGCCCCTTATTGGTTCAACTTGTCTATTAATTTCACTAACTCATGGGAGTTTTGTGACAGTGAGCATCTGACATACTTGAGACAAAAATCTCCTTCATTCTCAAGGACAGCCCTTTTTACCCCACTGAATTCCTTGTTTTTGTTTGTTTGTTTTCCTCCCCTTTTAGAAACAGACAGGCTAAATTAAACGTTTGA